CTGTGAGGTAGTCAGTCCATTTATCAGTCAGCACCATTCCCCAGACTCAGGGAAAGCACTGGTCCCTTCTCTGATAAAAGAATATTATTGGCAGATTTTGAATCAAAAGCTTCAGGCTTATTGCAGCAATTAAATGCATGAGTCATGTATTCACTCATTTGGAAAGGTTCCTACTTTGTCTTACTGCTCACCAAGACTGTAAAAGGCACACTGCAATCTGTCCCAGGTGTCATGGGACAGGTTTGTAACCCAGGCTGGTTACAAGTACAGCTGAGTTCCACCCGTGGCATCACCCGGGCTCATACTCTCTCCTCCTCACCTAAAGTGACTGCCAGATTCCCATCAGAGGTGCTGCTCCCATGCATCCTCCTCTCTAGGAGTCCTTGCAGGACAGTGAAGGAGACTTCTTGCCTCTCCCACCCTTGCTTTTACAACCCCATCCTACTGTGGGAGGACCTATGGAGAAATAAATGCATGGCACATTCACCCTGCAGGGCCTGGAGAACGGGTTTTGTTGCTGAAAGGAGAGGGGGAACCGCCTCTCTCCTGTCCTATGTCTCCCTGTGCTGAAAACCCACTATGGTTATGAGGCTCTAAGTGTGTACTGCTATGCAGGCTGAAGAGAAATTAATGCAGCTGGATTTGGAAGGACAAAGAGAACTGGTGTTCTACTATGATCGATAGTCATTGATCTGATGCTAATTATTAGAAATATAATCTTTTAAAATACTGGAATTACATATAATCACTTGATTATTCATTCTAGGTGAGTACTGCTTCCTTGATGCATTTGACTCAAACTTCAAACAAATATTTCTCATTGAACAGTAAGTAAATTTGTAACACAATGAAAGGTAAGCAACTGAATAAAATTGCCACCTCCTTCTACCTTTGTTCAGCTTAGCACTGCACTTTGCATGAGGAGATGCTTTGCATGAGGAGATGCTTTGCATGAGCTTTGGGACTTGGATCCCTAATGTCATCTCATCTAATGTAAACATCTAAAAACCTCTAATCTTTTCTTTAATAAAGCTTCTTACAGATTGTATCTTGTGAAAGTGAGTCAGCTTCCTGTGTGAAACAAAATTTTAACAGGTCACAGTGCCCATGTTCTGTTCTCTGAAAGTTTCTGATGTTGGTTTCTGTACAAATGGATCCTTAGAATGCCTCTGGCCTCTGGTGTCCTTTTGTACAGCTCTATTGCCTCTTTCTTACCCATTTCCTTTGTAACCAGCCCCTACCTTCAGAGTTCTTCACTAAAAGACAGTGCATGGAAATGATCCACTTCAGGGCAGTGTGGACATTGGTATTCACAACCCTCTCACGAGGCAAATTATTATAGTTGCATGTAGTGGCTGTCTCAGACAAAACAGCTGGACCTAAATGATCATGATGTTCCTGTTGTCACAAAACCATTTTTCTTCCCCCTCTCTTAGTTGCGTCCCTCTTTCCACTCAAAACCTCCAAACTTCAAAATGCAAGAATGGGATACAAAAAGGCATGAAACCAGCAATAAGGAGTCCCCAATAACTGGACTTGCCCATATTTTCCATACCCAACACAGCTAAAAGAGGCTCTGCAAGCTCTGCACTGTCTGCTCTACCTAACAAGAATCTGTGGAAGGTTTTGAGCCCTTGCAGAAGAGAAGCTCATATGATACTTTACTTATCATACTCATATGATTCTTTACTGTGAGGGTGGTGAGGTGCTGGAAGAGGCTGCCCACAAAAGTTGTGACTGCTCCATCCCTGGCAGTGTTCAAGGCCAGGTTGGACAGGGCCTTGGGTAACATGATCTAGTGGGAGGTGTCCCTGCCCATGGCAGTGGGGTTTGAACTATATGACCTTCAGGTCCTTGCCAACCCTAACCGTTCTATGATTCTATGATGGGCATCAGCTGATTAGGTAGAGAGGTAGCAATGGTCAAAGCACCATAGCTGTAACAACCAGCTGAAGTAGACAAGGAGAATAGTGAAAATATCCTTGAAAGTGGTATGTTTTAAGCAGACCAAACTTCTCACAGGGCATAGTGACATACAGTTGGAAAGGGCAGCTCTGCAAAGTTGTAAATTCCAGAAATAAGTGAAAGACAAAAACTCAAACAATACCCGAAACCCTTTTCTTTAAGTTTGAACTGAACCAGCAACCTAAGAATTACTTTCTAGAGACAGCCACTTTACCAGCTAAGCTATCAAACGAAGGTGAAGAAGGAGTGCCAAGAATGAGTCAAGACTGTATCAACAATAGCCTTAGGCTCTAATGGGCTTCCATATGTATAGCTTTTCACAACAGCAAAACAGTATCCAAAAAAAAGGCACAAAGCTAACTCTCCTGCAAAATCGGATTTTGGTTACAGAACTGCCAGTTTTCTGCCAAATAGTTCGCAGTTCTTGTAAGACTGTTGGTAGTGGTAGCATTAATGTTGGAGTTACTGTCATGACCCGTATGAAATCTGTTTACGGCTTGACAAAAAAAATTGCCCACTCTTTGATGACCTTGCCACATTTCCTAAGCTGAGTTAGGAGAAGAGGGAGAACTCCCCTCCACACAGTTCCCCACAACAGTTCTCCAGCCAAATCCAATAACAAAATAGCAAACAAATCAGTTAACACTGCCCGACAGCTTCCATAGCAAATGCAGAGTAACAGAGGAAAAGGACAGAAAAGAATAACCACTGAGGTTTTAATTCAAATCCCACCAAGTCCCATGGTACATGTAAAACCCCTTGTACACAGATGAAGTTGCAGTGTCTGGCATTTCAACCGGTGGCCTCCCAAACCCCTGGGCCTGGGAGGCTGAACCCTTTGTGAATCATCTGAGCGAGTGCCGCAGCTCACAGCTGCGGCAATTGAAAGCAAGCTATACTCTTTTTGAATTACAGTGATTCATGAGCATCTCCAGACAGCAGGGTGGGGCAGAAAGCTGTGAGCAGACACCCTGTTTGCCGAAACCATGCCATCCTACTTGCAATAGGAGTGTGTGTAGCAGTGTTACCTCAGTGCCCTACAGCATATCCATCCTTAACCCATGCTTACCTCCACCTACTCCTTGTGACTCAACCCCAAACACCAGGCTGTTTCAGCAAGCATGTAGCCAGCAGATTGAGGGAAGTGATTATTCCTCCATCTTCAGCACTCAGGAGCTTGCATTGGGAATGCTGTGTCCTGCCTTGGTTCCCTTGTACAAAACTGATGAGGACATACTGGAGGGAGTCCATTGGAGGCCCTCCAAGATGGCCAGGGGGCTGGAGCACACAATACAGCAGGAGAAGCTGTGGGAGCTGTGCTTGTTCAGACTTAAAGAGATGAATAAAGGGGGATCATAGTGCAGTGTGCAAGTACTAAATGGGAGAGCATGGAGAAGGCAGGGACAGGCTCTGCTTGGAGGAGCACAGTGAAAGCATGGGAGGCACCAGGCAGAAGCTGCCACCAGAGAAATTTTGATGAGATATGAGGAGAGAAAAATACAAGGAAAAATAAAAAGCTCATCATTGCTAAGGTACCTGGATGGTGGAATCTCCACCCGTGGAGATCCTCAGAGCTTGAGGGACACAGCCCTGTGCAACCTGACCTAACTTTGAAGTCTACCCTGTCTGGAGCAAGAGATTGGACCAGATGATCTCCAAAGGTTTTTTAGCAAACATAAAGTGACCCGACCCCCCCCCCCCCCCCATGTCGGAAAGGTGACTTCACAGAGCAGATGATCTGACAGTAAAACTATCACCAAGTACTTCTCTGTTTGGAAAATACATCTCTTCATCTCACAAACCCCTGCACACACATTTTATTTATGCTCATACTAACAGACATCTTAAGTCTCTTCTACTGCTAAAGGCAGCACAGATCTTGATAGAAACCCAGTAAGATGTCTCCTTGGTTTTGTTCATTGGACTATAGGAAGGTCAGGAAATACCTGACTTACCTGTAAGGTACTGCTGCAGCTTCTCAGAGGCCTAACCCTGAGACCTCTGATGTGTCATCACCTTCATGCACCCAACAACAATTATCAATTTAGCTGATGCTGTAAAGAAAAACATGGGATTATGGAGAGAAACAGAAGTGCTGTGTGCCTGTCAGGGCAATATCTGCACTCCCTGCGGTCAGATGGTCATGGTGGGCCTGAGATACCCATATGCAAGAAAGCGAGGTTAGTCTTGTGTTAGAGAAAGTATTACATAACAGATAACAGGGACCCAAGCTCCTAAATCGGAGCATAGAGTGTAGCCCCAGAGCTCTCATCTTTTCCAGTGTGCAGACTCCACAGCATTTTTAAGGGGCACTTCAGGCTCCTTAACTTCAGGTTAAGCCTACTGTCATGAGCCTTGAGTCACCTTTCACAGACAGACCCCTTACAAATAATTTACTTGTCCCACCCATGCATTCAAAGACCTCAAAACTGAAAATGGCTGCTCTATCCAGTTTAACTCAGCACTGTCATCCAATCCAGCAGTGAGGTACCAAATACAGACTTTAGGGGAAATATCCACCATCTCCTTGCTGTCAAAAGTTGTTACCGGTGAGGATAACCCTAAACAACTTGTGCTTTCCTGTAACAAGTCAGTAGCTGTTAAGTCAAGATAAAAATTCAAATGGAATCAGATAAAGAGTGGATGCTGTTACTATCTATGCATGAACAAATGGGATGCAGAACCCACAGTGTTGCCTTGACAATAAAAAGCATTGGAGTTCTCTTTTTGTGGAACTTGCTAGCAGTGATGTATGGGTGATTCATGAGAGATATTCTCCTAAACTACAAATGTACCCCCCAGGGCAGCTTTTCAAAGTAGATGTTCCTAGGAAAAAATATTTTTTTTTTCTTGATTTTTGAACTTGGTACACTTTGAATTCTTAACAGAATTAATTTTTGGCATGGACTTCATGAAATGTCTCTGATTATTTTGATTCTTTCAACTGATTAAATGAAGATACCAAGCTTTGAGAGCCACGTGACTGGAGCCCTGAACTATATAAAGGGAACAGCTCACCTGTTTCATGTGGTGTAGAATAAGATGAAAGGAAAGGATGTAGCTTGAAAGCATGATGGAGAACAGCCAGAGGTAAGGCTACTAATAGCTGGACTGTATAATTATACTTGGTAATGCTATGTGTTTTGTTAAGATCAGATTAGCATATGATGGTTTCCAGTGTTTTGTATACTTACAGGCTGACTTTCTAACATGGCTTTAAATGGGTTAAAGGGTTTTGTTGCTGGGTTGTTTTGTTTTTTTTCCAGTGAAGAGCTTTAAAAAATCTAGTTGACTCTGAGGGACTTGGGGAGATTGTTTTATTTTCTTTTCAGGTGGAAATACACACATGCTCTGAATATGAGCATTAGATTGGACTCGCAATAAATCTGGGAAATCTTTGTGCTCACTTTAATTCCACCCAGTTTGTGTTACACGTCACTGGTTGGCTGCTGTGGTTTCTGCACCAGCAGCTAGTAACGAGCTCAGGATGTCTCAATTTAACAGTCTTGTGTGATACCCCTGCTTTGTTGCAGGTTTTCCTAAAGACTGCTACTCGCAGCAACTTGAATGAAGAGTCTGAAGCATCAGCAAAACAATCATCTCCCTCTGTCTACCTGTTAAAATTCAAGATAGAAATCTCTTTGGGACAGACTATCTTTGTACTTAAAGGCTGAATAGCAGTTAGCACAACAGCCCCCAGTCCTGTCTGATGCCCCCAGGCTCTGTTGTGATGTAAATAATATGTACGACTCCTTAGGCCAGCTTCAGAGACAACTTTAATAACGTCAGTGTGAATGAATGCCAAGGGGAAGGAAGGTGGGAATGCAGGAGGAAAAGAATTAGGAGAGTACATGAAAGTTTCTTATAAAGGAAGTCTGATTGCATTGCTACAGCGTGGGCTGCATTTCAGGGAACATGGAGTTTATAGGCCAGTTATCAGTTTTTGTCTGCTCAGGGAATCTGTTTAATATTTCTGATGCTGCACCTTTACCAGTAATAGACATCCAGGGGAAAGCATCCTTTGGGTATTCAAAACCTAAGCTGTATATGCTTATCCACAGATATATATAGCTTTATTTTGCTACATAACAACCTTACAGGTCTGGGGTGGCTTTTAATGCAAAAGTATTTTCTTTGCAGATAGGTTATTTTAATTAGGATGTCTTCCTATGTATGGCCAGTCCCATAAAGAATTAAAGCACAAAACCTGAAGACCCTCGGCAGTGCCCAGAGATCAGATTCAACCTGAATAACTCTCTTCAAGCAAATGGTTTAGCACCAGCAGCCAGATTATACAAGTGCCCCATCAGCAGGCATGGAAAAAAGTAGCTTCCATGTAACTGTCAAACTATTCTTCAACAAGTTAAATATTCAGCTATATTAAGTCAAGATACAAACTGCAGTGAGCAGCATTCCCATCTTCCTTCCTACAAAGGGTTCCACATCTTGCCCTTCTCTGAGTGAAAGACAAGACTAATAACGTGTGAGATCTTCTGAGATGCTGATCAGGCCAGAAAGTTTTGATAATTGGGTGGCAATTAACCACAGCTGGGACATGACATCGTTCAGATAAAATGGTCTAGCTACTGTAAATAAGAGTTATCAGAGAGCCTGACCCCTATCTAGTTTATCTTAGTTTCCATCCAACAAGTACAACATTGGGCATTTATTTTTGTTTAAGCAAAACCTCAGCTAATCACCCATAGACTCTCTATGCCCTGGTCTCATCCACGTGGCAAGGCAAAAGACAGTATTTCTGACTGATACCTTCCACTTTCCAGCCCTGTTTCTTCCCCACGATGTGGACTTACTGCTTTGTGACAGCAGTTGAAAAGGCTGTGATGTTACTGGAGGCTTTGGTGTCAGCAAAACCCTGCAGCATTTGGGGGAGGGCAGTGGTGCAGAGGACAAAAGTGGCACTATTTAGGATATGGGACAGCCCCCTGGCTCCTGCAACTGCTTTCCTTCAGGAGCACCCCTTCCACCCAGCCACTTCCCTTTCCCTTATTCATCATATAAGTGACATGGTTTAGTGTGAGGTGTCCCTGCAAATGGCAGGAGCGTTAGAACTAGATGATCTTAAGGTCCTTTCCAACCCTAACTATTCTATGATTCTACCAGGCTGCTCAAACTATAGAAGCCCTAATGAAAATAAAACATGCATGTCATATATAACAAGAAGAGGCTCAACCACTGGAAAAAAAAAAAGTGTGAAATTACAGTATCAATGTGAGAGATATGACCCCTCATTGCCCAGGACAGAATTTGAAAGTGCATATTTTTTTCCATTCATAAGGGGCAGCTTTTGGGAGCTGAGAGGAAGACACATAAGAAAAACAGCACTTAAAAGAGGAGTATTTCTGCCCTAAATATTTGAGACCTTTTTCTGACACACCAGCTTGCTTTGCCATGGGGAGATGTGCAAGCACAGCTCTGATGAACAGGTATGGTTCCTAATGTGTTCTGCCCACAGCTAATGCTCTATCTAGCCTTTCTGAAGACAGAACAACAAAGCCTTTAAGAGTGACTAAAAAAAAAAGTAGGGTACAACTTTTTACCTGGCTTTCCTCTTCATGGAAGAATTTAGCAGTCTTGGGTAAGGAGGAGATTTGCCTGGTCTGGCTGTGGTACGGGATACTAGTCGCTTGCACTCATGAGAATCTAATTTATTTTTAAAGAGGATTTTAATATAGCATAACAATATTACCACACATCTCGCTCAAGCAAAGAATTTTTCCAATCTATATCCAGTGCCAGATAGAGTAGCTATAAAATGAATTAGTGTACCTTAAATTTCTGCCTTGGCTGTAGTGACAGGAAGCTAATTAGACAAACTGACCATGTCTTCTGGACCCAAATCCACATTACTTGGACACATAAGAATTACCAGCTGCGTGAGAGCTCGTGCTTCTGGAGGGAGTTGGACTTAAAGGATGAAATAACAGGTAAAGGAGCAGAGAATGATGGCCACTGTGGGGCCCAAAGCAGCAGTGTTTAAACTCTTTTCCAGCTAAATTTTAACACCTCACAATGCAGCCAAAATATGTTAGAAGCATGTCTAAGGCATGGATGCTGGGCTCAGACCACATATAAGCTCTAAACACAGTTGACTTTTCCAGGGTATTCTTAAATTCCAAAGACCAGTGTATTGGAGCCAACTGCACATGGCAATCCTGACGGAGCAGACCACGTATTTCATGGCTCACAAAGCTACTGATCTTTTTGGCTCTGGCAAGCTTTGCTGGGCAGTAATAGACCTGGACCTACCAGGGCTCAGCAGGCCAGGGAGCAACAGTTTCAAACCCATACTTCACTTCAGCCATCAGAAGCAAAAACCTTTGGTCAGGTATGAGTGTTTTCTGATGCCTCTTTTGCAAGTATCTGAGTTGCAGGAAAATTACTCTTGAGAACTACTGTTCTCAAAAAATTTATCTATCCTGTTCTCACTTCCTCATCAGAAGTTGGGCTCCAGACTATGCCCAGATAGTACATGGCCCTCTTTTCTGGTATTCTTATCTCCACGTAGTCAGATCCAAACATTTCAGATATCACTAAGTATGGAATAGGGAGAGGGGCAGGGTTAAAATCAAAATTAGTCACAGGCTGAAATATCCTTTCTGAAAGGGATGAGCAAACTTCACAAGATAAGAATAAACACCCAAAATAACGGCTGCATCCCCATGAGCTGCACAGCCCTTCCTTTTTTCCAGCCAAAAAAGGGGGCACAAGACTCATAAAGGAGCTGGACCAAGGGATCTTACTGCTACTATTTTGTACGTATTATTTGCATTGTCATAACACACAGATTTCAAATGGGGACTAGTGTCCATTGAACTAGACACTGTAACAACAAACACCACAAAGATAATTCCCTGCCCTTGAGAGCTAATCTTTAGCCATTTCTCTGCAGCATCTGGCTAGGGCAGGGAATAAGGAAGTATACTAGGGTGTACTGCATGGATTGCATTTAATCTTATTTCTGTAACCCTTGTCCTTCCTTAACCTACTGCCCCACTTCTGTTAAGCTAACTCATCACCTCAGTCTCAATTTAGTTTGAAAGCTTCTTGAACAAAAGTCTTTGTGTCTTTTCACTTTTTTTTTCATTTTTCATGGTTTTGAGCCACAAAAATTAATACACATTATTGAAAACATGAAACAAAATAACTTCCTTTCTTCTCTAAGAAAAAATGGATATGATATATTAAAATGTGCATCAAAGTGTTATGATTTTGTAGTTCTATAGAGTGGATCAATGAGCAATACAACTGGTATGGCAATATAAATGAAGAAGTCTGGTCTGCATGTACAGACACACCAAGTACTTCTGCAGATGATATGCAGACAAAGGAGATATATCTGCAAAATAGTTCCTACTGGTTAAACACAAAAAAAGCTGCTGATATACTGCATTGTGATTGATAAATTGAATTTGCAGGTCCCCATAAAGATAAAGGAATTTGACAAATCAGGGGAATACAGTTTCAGCATGTCCAGGACCTGGAATGAAATGCGGGCATTTTCCCATCTCTACAGTCATTCCTTCCAGGCCAGCCTGATGCCTGCAGCATCCTCTTCCCCTGCTTGCAGCCACAGCAACTTCAACTGCATCAAGGGACAATGTCTTGGTACAAGAGGGTATTTGATCATTAGCAATTTCTAACCTTTCCTAGGGAAAATGGACTACCTGGACAGAAGAGGCTATGAGCCAACAGCTGCAGTAGGGTCCAACAGCTCTGTCACCACCCATCCATCCCAAATCTTACATTCCTTCTCTAGAAGAGGAAGAACAAAAAGGTATTTGTTTAAAAGACTGTACTGAAGAACTATAAACAATAAATGATGTTAGTTTAAACAGACAGAATAGCAAGGGTAAAGACAGTGTAATGGTGCACTTCATTTCTGTTTCACCTCCAGGCCATGTAGATCTGCCCTATTATCAGCTTCAAACATGATGTCCTCTTTTTGCAGGTCTGCAAACCCCAAACTGAATCTGCCCAAGACAGCAGAGTGTGTGTTAAAGAGTCTCCAAACAAACGAAAAACTCCCTCAAACATCACTCTGTTCCTTTTCACAAGCAGCAGAGAAAGAGGGGACTAACGCCTCTGCAAGCAAGCAAAAGCATGCAAACCACCTGAGTGTGTTGCCTTCCCCAGCCCTCAGCACCACATGCTTGGGGAGGCACAGGGCAGGGGAGCCCTTTTACAGCTAGGCAGTCAAGGCTGAGAGCTATTTGGATTATATGAGGAATTTCAAGTGGAAACCATCTGAATGTGTGTGTGAGCCTGTGTGAAGCTGAACTGTTTAAAGAAAACAAATGGCTTCTTACAGTACCTCTGCAAGGTCCGATTCTACAGGGGGCATAAGTAAGCCTCGTTTTTCCTGCCATTGCAAATTTAAATGGGATTGTGGGGAGTTTTTTCCTGTTCTGAAAGCAAAGAATCAGGAAAAAAAACATGCCAGCAACGGTACGAATAAATTGGCAAGATATGCTGTAAATAGCTTTGATACTAAATAAAAACAAAACAAAATAATCACATTGCAGCCATTTTAAGATTTCAGCTTCCTTCTTCACCCCTGCCACTAAGCAGGCTTCCTCAAAATATGACAAGAATAATTCAGAGGGATGCTTGCCAAGTATTTTCTGACCCAAATCCTAGAGGTATCCTCCATCTGCAGCAACAGACAGCTCACTGTGGTCTGTCATTATGTTCTGTTTGGTTTTCAACACCAGCTACCCTAGTTAATGAAAGAAGATGCAACCACCGAAGACAATGAACAGACAAACATTAGCAGCATTTCTGGGAAGCTTTGAGGAAGACTTCTCTAATCTTGAATGGGCCAGAATACAGAACAATAATGACTTAGGCATGCACGTACAAGTGTATTGCTTTAGCAAACTAGGTAAACTCAGCTGTTAGGAAAACAGGCTGTATACAGCCTGGTGGACAGGATTTAAGGAGAAGAGATGAAGTGCAGAGCTAACCATTCAGTTTGTCACAGCACCACACCTACCTACTTACTTGGCCTCTATCTGCAGGCAGTAAATCTAATAGCTTGAAAGATCCAGGCAGTCAGAAATATTATTCCTATAGGACTGAGACCCAGCTCCACATTGAGACAAGGAGGCACAAAAGCACAAAATGTAACCAGTTCTATGTAACGTTAAGTTTGATGACTTTGTAATGGAAAATAACTGCGGTGCTTGAAGGTAATTGACCTTAGGACCTTAGTACAAAAGGTGTAAGAAAAACAGAATAGAAAAACGGGACCTGGGGACGGGGAGTATCTGGGACTAGCAGATGCCCAGGATGGGCACAGTTTAACTGATAAGTAGAAGGACAGGATGATTGCTATGTTTGTGGTGTTAATAAATCCATTAAGCTGGTGTAAACATCTACTGGGGGGTATCTGGGACTAGCAGATGCCCAGGATGGGAGCAGTTAAACCAACTGGTAAGTAGAAAGGCAGGATGATTGCTGTGTCTGTAACGTTAATTAGGCTGGTGATGAGATTGTTGGGAAAAGTGACCGACCCTTAAAGACCACCATCGCATCTTTGTATGCACGCCGGAAACTGTTTGGAAAATGATGTAATATGCCCAGTGACCACCTAAGGATGGCCCGCTTGGGAATACGGCGACACACGTTAGGAGGAGCTATCCCCTGTGTCTCCTGGCGCCGCAATAATGAATACCTGCTTGTCAACTTGAACCTCTGTTGGCGAGCTTGTTCCTGGAGTTTTCTCCGAATCAACATCCATAATGTTTTATGTAAATGTCTGCATGCAGCCCTTCACATCTAAGGTTTGTAGAAATGCATGGTATTTAGCCAAATGCCATTCCACTAAAGAGCAGCATATTTTTTTTCTTATAATCTTGCACGGAAATTGAAATGGGTATATTTTAACAAGGGAAAAGTAAACGTTTCCCCCTCACCTAGGTGCTGCAGCATCTCTCGTTTGTTGATGACAGTGCCCTGAGATTTTCTCTACTCATTTCTGACCAAGATTCAGAAACCACCAAAGAAGAAAATTCCCCTCAGAAAATTAGACCCCACAGTTTGACATAGGCATTAGTCTGGGGATTGGATCTACTTATCCAGACAATATAGGCAGCACTGGCCTCAACAGCAAAGCTCTTACATTTTGTTCTTCATCAAACCTTCCTATTTTATGTAACAAACTACCATTTATCTACCACGTAAACATGCTGTACTTAAAATGCTTGTCTCTGATAAACCATTCTCCCCTTTGAGGATCCATTAGGCCCAACATGAATCAAGCCTAAAAAGCTACTTAAAGCTTTTGGAGAATTCTTTGGATTTCCAGCCTCATATTTCAGTTACTGTGATGTTTGCATTAAGATGCTTGTCTGAATTTTGCCCTGCAGGACTGAGAAAAAGAAAAATGTTCCTTTTGTGTGGAACACAAGTGGTGGGTATTTAGCTATTTTTTGTGTATTATGACAGTACCATCTGGCATTCATCTGCCGGGTACCTCAGGAGAATGTCCCCTTCCTACTTGCCTGTATGATGCCGGCCAAAACGACAGAGTACACCAAAGGTTAACTTCCTGTAATACGGTCTCTTGGTTTATCTGGAGTAAGACAATAGTTCCTTTATATTCCTAACTTTGCATTTCACATATTCTCCTGCCTGCCTGGAAAACAAGGTCATAAGAAATTCTTATTGGTCAGACACCTCCCAATGCAAAGCCAGAGATAATGCTAGCAAACTTAGTAAAAACAATCTATAAGGCCAGTTGGCAACGCACATACAGAAGGAAATATGAAATAGAAATTTGCACAGTTAGATTTGTTCCATTCCACTGAAATGCTTTGTACAGTGGAAGTATAAACAAACCACTGCTCTTAGAAGTCATGGTTCACCTGTTGACTCAAAAACTCATGTCTGTAAAACAGCATGAGAGGGGCCAAAGGGACTATCTGCTTGGGTTTCTCTCTTGGTCTCAGCCTAATTTATCTTGTCAGTTCCAAGATCTCCATTCATTTCTTGGAAGAGTAATAAAGGAAGTTTGGATTAGCCATGCCCTCCAATTATTTGATAATTTTTATGCAAACAAACAAGAACCTAGCACGGACCAGTTCAGAGTGACTAGTTCAGCTGCCAAGTAACATCTTAAAGCTATTTTCATTCTAGCCCCTTCCTCAAACAGCAGCTCCTTCACCCCTTTCAGGATATATACTTTAATACTCCCAACCTGCTTCTTGCAAACAGCCTTTTCAAGAGAAACAAGCCAGTCTTGAGCAATTAAGACCTATAGATCTCCCTTCACTTCCTTCAAAGCCATTGTGGAGGTGCAGCTGAAAACCATTAAATTCAATTGAGCCCAAATGGCCTATAAGTCATAGGGAAACTTCCTCTGGGCTTTTAACAAAGAGCCTTGCTTTAAATTCCAAATTACAAACAAATTCAGCCTGTTCAGCTTTCACATAAAACATAAAAATTAAAGAAAACATACAGAGGAAAAGTTGCATCAAATCACAAGGAACAGTATAAGAAAGTACAACCAGTTACTCTTGTTCTGAAGTTACATTCTTCAGTTAGAAATGTCATATTAAGTCATAGCAATACGTTCTTTAGTTTGGGCTGGAAGCATACTTTATTCAGTGTATCACAAAGTAAACCTGGTGGTATTCACCACTCCTTTTTTTCCTCAGACTTTTTCCCACAACAGCTGAAAATAATACATATTTAGATATATACACACAATACGATGTGTACATATAATGTGTATGTATATGTGCGTAATTATATCACATACAGCTACAAAACTAATCTCAAGTTCATATATAATAAGTAGATAATAAATATTTCTATACTGTATATACCTAGCATTAAATATTGCTTTATTCTGGGTCAGGTTTTTATCAAGTTGACAAATTTATTAATGTGGCGTTACACTGCAACTCTCAATTTGTCAAAGATTAGGGATCAATATATGTACTGCAAGATCATAAGTCTGCTAAACACTCAAAAGATCGAGACAGATACTGAACTTGAAAATTATACAGTAAAATTATTCCATCATACATCTTTATTCAGACCCCCCATGGGACTGGCATGCTGTAAAAGCCTTTAAAAAAGCCTCTACTTGAGGGTTAATTTCACCCTAAGGGCTCTGAGAAGAACTGGAGGCCCAGATCTTTATGACTTTGTATCAATTAATGTTTTTTACATTCTTTTTAATAAGAAGTTGATGAAAAATATCCTGCTCTACTTATTTTATTTGGCACCCAAGTAACAAGTCATTAGAAGTATTTGAATAGTTTTTAAAAGTGCTGTGGATAAAGATAATGGGTCTGGGGGCAGACACACGTGCAGTCCTGAGGAACTGAAATTGAAACAAAAAAGTAGAAGGCATCCTCTATGACTAATCAGGACCATGTGGAGCACTGATCCAAGACATACAGGCTCGGCAGTTGACTCCCACACAGATCCAACACCTTTGCCATGGTGAGGCAATAGATGTGAGGGGAGCAGGGTACCACGGTCTGCTGGCAGGTTTTGCACCACCACCATAGGTCCATCAGGGCACTGGCACACCAGGCTATCAAACCAGTGACTGAGGCACGGACTTTGCCTCCTTCTCATGCCTCTGTGGCAAATGCAGCAAACCCTTTCAGTTGGCTTTGTACCAACCCCTTGGCAAGGGCACAGTTTAGTTTATTGCAATGAAACAAATAGCGCTGTTTCTCCCATTCTTCTTCCTCTTCTCTCTCCCTCAGCCCTTTCTCCTAACTGTGCACGCTTGCTGTTCTCTCTGTATCAGCCCAGAGCCACTTTAACTCACCAAACAGGCAGAACAGCAGCTCAGCAAAAGCAAACGCTTTAGCAGAGCCTCATACAACAAGCAAGAAGGATGACAGTGCAAAGGAGACAGGACTGTGAAGCCGGGAGCAGAATGAAGAGAAGGTGGCCTCAATTATGGCAACAGAGAGCAATCTGCTGGACCCACACACTGTAAGACATTAAGTTTGTTAAATTAGCAAAATGAAAGGACGGCTGAAATTTGTTAGTCTGCATCTAAGAAAAAAAAAAAGGATGAGGTCAGCATAGTGTATTAAGAGGTTAACTATGACCCCACTCCTTTCTCAACATCTCCAGAAATTTGTTGGTATTTAGACGACAGTCCTGAGACATTATAACAGAAACTACAGAACTTCTGACTGTGATTGAGGTCTTGGAATATTAAACAGACAACTAATTTCACAACAACAAATGAAGTAACACCTATTGGGAAAGCAGAAAGGAAAAAACAGATGCTGAAATACCTGTTTGGAAGAAGTATGTTCTCTGGTGTGTTTGTTTGTTTCCTTAACTGTCCTGAATTGTAGCCACCACAGGAACATCATAACTCTGAAGAAGCATAGACAGGAAGTCTTGAAATTCAAGAGGGAGAAGGAGAGGGGAATCACTCTCTCTCTGCTGATTCCCCATTGCCAAGCAATAGCAAATTGAGACTGAGTCTCAATTTCAAGCATGCTGAAATCACCCCTTCTGGTGGATAAAAACTATCTGCAGACAAATTCATCTCCATAGCTATAATATGGTTACCCTCAGCTTTACAACCCTGAAAAAGGCAAGAATTTAAGTAACAATAAAATCCCCCTAAAAATAGAAGCCACTATTCTAGCTCTGCAGAAGGAAATCCAGTATAATTTGGTTGATGTAATTAAAGGGGAGAGATGAGGAATCTTGGGGTGAGTCTGCAGCACTGAACACACCAACAGCACCAAATGCAGTGACACCTACAGAGCCAGCACATCTCCGTCTCAAGCCTGGCTCTGACCCAATTTGTCTTGGACCAACCCAAATACAGAAAAACACTGGTAGTGGTCACTGTCAGAATGCTTTTGTTTACAAGGTAACTCAGAGAGCTTTTCAAAACACTGTTCTTTTTTTTTCCTGAGTAAAATCTGTGACTTCTAACTTGAAAGGGGATTTCAAACTGGTTGTGATTCATGGGGATGTATGGACATTTCCCTGGGAGTTTGGAAAGCCTGGACTTTTTTCCCACAACTCCCAGGAAATGCAGTTAAACGTCTCCCACAGGTTGTTACTTCAGCATGTTGGGATGAGCAGTGCGGGACACTCACACAGCAGCCTCCATCACAGCACTTGCAAGGGGCAGGACTCCTACAGATGATACCTAATGCTGCACCCAAAGCCGGGGACTTGTGTGGAAACCATTCCATTTCCAGGACTTGTGTGGAAACCATTTCCCAGTGTATACGTGACCAGCATTAACTTGGACAACAGCACAGGTCATTTCCCTTTCTGTATGTTGCTAATTTATGGAGAAATGGCATAGGACTGGAGGCCAGTGGAACAAAATGGAAGGGGAGAGTGGGGGTGGAGGAGATGCTCCCTTAAGGAAATGAACATTAGAAAAAGTATTAAGCCAAAAGCACACTGAGGACACCACTATATTTAACCTAAGAATGATCTTGCATTAATCCTGATTTAGCCACTGAGATTTTCAGCTCTGACTGGTTACTGCAACTAATGCACTGGAAAGCCCTGGGTGAAGCTTTCTCCCTCACCTCCCTCACACAGGATTCACTTCCAAGAGCTCTTTAAATGTCAGTCCTTGAGCAATGGGTTTCACACAGCAGAGCCAGTTGCCTTGCACAATTTGAAGGGAGACCTTCCGCGTTTTGCTTTCCAGCTACTTTTCCTTTTCTGTTCACCATGAATGTTGCCTTCAGTGATAAAGCTAAGAAACCCCACCCTTGCTTGTTATCCTGGCAATATTTAATTACGACAGCCCATTCAGTGTACTTCATGAAATATGCAACCCTGTGTGACTAATGAGGTATTTGCAGGTAAGGGCCATATACAGAAAACTGCAGGGCAATAGAAGTAAAGAAAAACCATGAACTGATCAGCCAGCTGTTAAAATGATGCAAAGTGTGTCTTATTAAATGTGTTGTGTTATATCCAGATGATCGCTAGAACTCAGCCCTGGCTCCCTCTGTAAAGCTTCACTTTCAAAAACCTATAGGTCTTCTTTTCTATTATTACATGTTAGCTCCCTATTTTTCAAATACTGACGAAAACATCCACCTTTCTACTGCCTCCCTGCTTTCCACTTGTCATATAAGGGCAGTACTATTTTGATTTTATGTGTGTGATTGCATCTACTTCAGTGCTGAGCATCCTATCAGCATATGACCAAATAGCAAAGCTGACATTTTTGCCATGATTATCCACAAAATGTGTTTTCTACCCCTGATTTACAAGAGCTCTATTCATGAGAAATGATTAATGGCTCACTAGCGCTGCCAAAAAGCACATAAATCTAGACATCCTCTATGCTCCTGACATGCTGCTCATCTAGTAGTTATGTTCAGATCTCTCTCTCCCTCTCTCCCGCTTATCTATGTCTGATCCCCAGTGGGCACATGCTTGTGCTGATTAGACAATACAGTTGCTGACTGGGACAATCTTAGGCTTATATTACTGATGGCACCCAATTAGAGGTTGCAGAAAGCAGTGTCCTTCCTGGCTTGTACTAGACAAGCATGATTAAGTGTTAAATGCCTTCTGAATTAACAGGCAGCATCAGCCATGTGTCTGTTACAAGTTATCAGGGTAAGAAACCAGCTTCATTGCCAAGTTTTTGCTGTTCATAGTTAGTCTCCCAGGCTGTAGACTAATAGAGCTGAGAAGAGGGCAAGCTGCATAGAAGCATACACCTGACTCAGCTGATGCTTAACTTATTGAACAAGGTTTCATACACTTGGCATTAAACATGCCTTTAAGTGCCCCACTCAGATGTGAGAGATTGAAACAAGCACTATCTGAACCAGGGCCCATGATATTCTCCATCCCCTCACCACACCACCTCCCTAATAAAAGCTATTTCACACTTCTTGAGCATCTTTCTTCTGAAGATCCTAGACTGTGTTGCAATTATTAAAGAACAGATCATACCATGTCTACCCATTTTTTCCGTAATTTCTTGCTAGCACAGCAAGATACACAAAACCAAGTAGCTTGCTGTGCCTAGTACGTGAAAGAAATATCAAGGTTGCAGTGCTTTCCCTACATGTATTCACTATGACACAAGCCTTTACCTGTAAAAGCATGTTCTACTTTACAAATAATACAGGGTACAACATGCCTTTTCCTTGTTGACTTTGATGCAGACCCGTTACAGCTTGCAACCAGTTCTCATTCCTGTATTCATGATGTTCACTGTTGCTACAATACGGTGTATTTCAGATACTACCATCAGACCTCAGAATCATGCACAGCTCCCTCTCACTTCTCTGGAAACTACAACTATTACCCCTCTGTAATTAAAAAAAAAAATTATTAATAAAATAGTCATGAGAGCACTGTTTTCTCTAGGTGTGTTTTGGTAATACCTTGGAATTCATGTTCTGTTCCTTTTTTTTCCTTCTCAACTTCCTCATGATTAATTACTGGTCCAAGCTTACAAGCAGTATCAGTCTTTGAGTGCACCCACCCAGAATTTTGCCAGATCATGCATTTTCAACAGATCCTGATTGCAGCTGAGTTACTGGGCTTTGTTACTGCATAAGCCACTTCTCAAGTAAATAGCTGGAAAGAACAGCACCAATGTGAAGGGATATCTTGCCTGCTTGGACAGTGTTTAGAAGGGTAAACAAAGTAACAGACAGGCTTCCTTTAAAGCAGTGCTCAACTCTTTCTGTAAAGAGTCAAGAGTGACCTATATAATTCTCATTTCTGTGCCAAGGGTAAGAAAGTTATCAGTATTACTTCTCTGGCCATTGTATCACAAATTCTTTTAGAAGCAGAATATTTCACTATGGTATCTTGACATAACCTGATGTCCAGATATGTATCCTGCACAGCTGTATGCGCAGCACTAGCCATGGGTTACATCCTTGAGAAAGAAGAAGCTGTTTGCAAAGTATATAATCACAAAAGTAAAAAATCAAATAACAGCCACTTTCATTGCTCAGCATGCCCAAGCCTCCCTGGCCAGTAGTCCTAAGCCCCAAAGGGCCTCGACTCCCCACTTACTCCTAAGCCATGCTTGCAGCTTCTTACCTGAGTTACTTCTGCTGCATTTGGAACCAGTCCCTCAGACTGCACAGCCTAATTCTGCTCAGCCTTTGCTTTGCTTGATTATTGGCTTCCTACAAGCAGCTAAAAACATGTTTAAATATTCTTATCATTTAGCCCAAAGGAAAGCTGTTGAACACATTTAACATCTTTACTCAGACCTAAAACTTTCTACTGATATAAGAACCATCTGATGGCAGCCACCAACACCTTCCTGTATGAAACAATATTTCTAAAAGAACAATGACATGCAAAGTAAATAGAGAATTCTTCCATCAAAAAAACCCACAACATGCTGCCCCAAATGCAAAAGATCTTTTTAAAAACAGTAAGTTACAAATAATGAATAATATTTTTCACTCTCATATCTGTGATGTGCACAAAACATAGCAGTTAGGATGAGGTGTCCATTTTATCATCTTCTAAATGGCAGAATCAAGGCACATGGAAACTACACAATGAACCCCCTATCTACTGGGTATCCACCCACCTCTCCACCTTCCAGATAATACAAAACCTTTTTCTTCCTTCACAGCTGTGCTGAATACCCTAGAATTGGATAGCTCACACACAAAAACATCCACCCCAGAAAAACTTTCCTTGTCTTTTTTACCAGTCTGTGCCTTTTTTCGGCCATTTCACCGGGTGCACAATACATCAGTTTCTCTGACGTAACACCCCTTAGTGGCGCATGTAGGAAACATTACCTATGGGGGTTGGCTACACTATCTAATTAGAGATCTTCCGACAGCTCTTCTTCACTAAATTTCACAATTACACAACTCCAAGCATCAGCAATCCTCATTCAGCAGCTCCATGGGCGCTTTCCTGGTAGACACTGTTTATCATGTTTCTTTTACTTTCATTCTTATTTCCCCATCTGCAGTACCCTTTTTTCCACAAGAGGTGTTCCTTGTTGCTTTGAAGATTCATACTGAAAGAAGTGCAGACAAGAATAAATTATATTTGGGGTATTCATTACACCTATAACCTCAAAGGTAGGAGGAAAAGAGAGAGAAGTTTAAAATAACTTTAATTCCTCTTATCCACAAAAACAGACTGTCAAATTACATAATTCTGTTCCTGAGATAGATTATTTATCTACAAGGGCTCTTCTGCCTGTCTCCTTTTGTATTATAAAATGCTGTTATTTAAGGTTCAAGCTATTTCAAGGATTGTTCAATGCTGGTTTATTTTATGGCTAACAAATGCACGATTTAACCAAGAAGTAGTAAGTGTAGGAATCAACACTTAACTTGACCTTATCCCTCTTCAGCAGGTGCTCTACTTTCACAGACACAGATATGGCTAAAACAACTCTTAAGGGAAAAAAAGGGAAGAGAAAAAAAAAAAAAGGGAAATTCTTTTCATGGGTCATTTGCCCTAACTTTCCAAACTTGGTTCCAATTTATTTATGAAAATAAGTACAAACCAGCATTTGAATTCCAATTAGTGACACAAAGAACACTGAAGTTTCATATGGTACTCTGCACGTTCTGCATGCTGTTTTAGTAATTCTTAAATCAAAAGAGCAGTCTGTCTATCGGTATTTCATGACGCCATTTTGACAGTAAAAAATTAATGGATACCACCAGCACCTAGCAATATTTGAAATGCAGGCAGCAACTTTGTTTACCACTGCTCCTTTTTTCAAGAGCATGTGTTTAAACCTCAAACACTTAATGGGACCACTGTATTCTCCCATCTGCTTGGCATATCAAAATGATACCAAATAAATTGTGACATGCTTTGGGACAATTTTGTCATTAAATGTTTTACACAGCTTGATAAAAAAAAAATAATCCAAAATCTGAGTAACATAAAAGTTTTTTCCTAAGCTAAGAGAGCCTTACATGACTTAAACTCCATAAAACAAATAAACGAACCGACTGAAAACCCCTATCTTGAGTTTTCTAAATAAATGAATCCTAATCAAATAAGGAAAGTAAAAGTTGGGTGGCTCTGGCTTCAGCAGAATCAAAGCACATTCCATTACTTAGCTAATACAAGCAATTTTGTTAAACAAACTATACCTTTGTTCTGTAAATTTTGAAAGTTAGGCTTTGGACAGATGTTCCCTGCTGGATGCAGACATGCCAGGGGAAGGTTAGAGTCCCAGCTGTTGATCGTCACTTCTTCACAGAGGTTACTGCTCCCTCACATTTGTTGGCAGAGCTTGCTTACAGAAATACTCCCAAAGCCTCTTGAAGTTAAAGTGAGTGGCATTACTATTTAGACAGTTTAAGCTAACTAGCACATCTGCTGAAAGAGGTCATGCCTGTTTGTACTTTTAAACTTCCACTGTTCACAAGACTGTAAGTTTTCACAACTTCTTGTCAGGGCAGAAGCTTTTCTCACCTTTTTGTGTAACACTAAATCCCAAATGCCACACTTGAATATTTAGCCTTAAATGTCTCCTAATTAAACACTGACAACTGTGTTAAGTGTGCTAGTGAACTACAGTCTGTTTCAGCTCTAACTTCCTGATTAGCTTTCAAACCCTTTTACATCAAGCTTGTGGTCTTAGAAACAACAATCAAAATCTGTTATTTCACTGTGCAAGGGCATCCTGAAGACCTGTGTCACACATGTAAGGATACAACACACACAAAATGCAGCTCTAGTGTAGTGATGTTGGGAGGCATCAAGCTTCAGGCAGAATACAGTACTTCAGACATGCTGCAATACTCTATACAAGCTCCTGGCCTCTTTTTGCTCTTTTCCCACTTAAAAAATAGTGAAATTTCTGCTGAGTTCTTTGAAATCTGAGTGAAAAGTGCTACGTTCTTGTGCATGATAATTGTTATCAAGAATATAGATCCACTATTCCTTAGCAACCTAAAAAAAAACAAACCAAAACAAAACCCATGTCATACAAACGTTTTATCAACAGATAATTAATATTAGTATATGAATGGTTATGACTTTAGAGTAATGCAAGATTTATTTTCTCACTCTTTTATAAGTAACATGTATCTATGACTAAATTTCAATATATCTCCAATTAAGGGATGCATTGAATTTACAACTGGTTTTTGAGGGATTTTTTCTGTTTTTTTTTCTCCTGGCAGGATATTGATTAAGCTACCTAAAATGTCATTCACAGCAGGCTATTTATGTGATGAAGTTTCTATCCATGTGAAATTGCTATGTCTAACACCTTTTTCCTCTCTACAGAAAAATATTATTTTGCAGACAAAACAGGAAGTTATCCAAGGGTCTAAGAAAAGAATTTGCTGTTTCTTTCCTTCAGAGTAGAATGACTTTATTTTCATGCCTTTGTCTACCTCTTCTAGTGCTTCAGTTACACATAATGCCAAGTAGCAAATTATATGCCAAAAATCATATTAAAAGAACATTACAGATACAGAGTCACTCAAAACTTACAACCTTCCAAGATTTCCCAGACAATTGCATTTCAGGCCCCTTGGCGTACACAGTGCATGCAGGACTACGGATGCCATGACTATTTTTTCCTGAAGCCATTTCCTCATTCAGTGGACAGACCAAATGCTAATTATTACACACATGAACGTTCAACTTTTTTTAAATTTTTATTCTGACTGCTCACCAGATCTTATTTACTGACCTGTACTCAAGTCTTGCTACGAAGACAGGATTATGAACGTCTGATGACTTTTCTGTCATGCCATCCTTGCACTACTTGCGTGCTTCACAAGCAAGAAATCACTGATGGGACTCTGTGAATGGGATGAGCTTCCCCTCGTTTCCACAGGTAAAAAGATGATGTAATGGTAACCTAGAAAACAGTAGTTATTAAATAGCTTCAATTAAATCTCCACAATTAATCTACTTTCAACCACATCCTTTCTACATTTTAACAGTACTTGAGTCCTTCTTGCATGTACACTAGCACATTTGTAAAGCCTGGACTCTGACAACATTGTGACACATGGCTTCTACTTTCCACTTATTGAATTCTTTCTCCAAATCGTTGGAGCATCTCAACAAAATGGACAGAAACATCTATTTTTAAGACAAGAGAAAAAGCAGCACATTTCTCTTAAACTTGTTCTCAGGAGGGAAAAAAAAAAAGATGCAATTTTTTCTGAAGGTTTAGATATTCAGTCAGATGCAGTCTCCCAGTCTGTACATTTTTAGTCCAAATAACATACATTTGACAAATTTATAAGCAATGGAAAACAGGGTCTTGTGATGAAAAGTGTCAGGCAAGCTTAACTATAGGTGGCATTCACAGCCTTGCCTATAATTAATATCTCCTGTGAGGAGTCTGCTGGTAATCCAGATGAGGCAGGCAGCGCAATGACTCTCTGCATACCTACACAAAAGAGCAGGGTTGCATTAAGAGGTCTCATTCATTCCTCTGATGATCTGAAACAAACAGGCATCAAATGATTTATACCATGCAATCAGTGTTCACAACCTCAGCAGAGTACCTGAATACAGCACAGAAGCAAAAATGAGCAACTAAACCCCCTTCTTGACATTCTTACATATGAACCAGTAAGTCAGTGAATTACTACCTCATAAGGAAGCCAGAAAAGAAAACTTCACTTGCAAACTAACCACTTCTAGCTAGCTCAGAAGAAATATGTGACTTTAACATAGCCAGTTTTTACCCTGGTAAGTCATGGCTAGGTCTTTCCCAATATGGCCAACAGTAATTGCCAGACAAGTCTTCTCATGGTTGACACTATTCCATAATGGAAAAGGCCTTGTCTCTAATAAACTTGGCTCTATGTCATTGTAAATAGCACCTTAAAATGTGACTGACAACTGTATTCCCCTTTGTTTTACTCTGCTAATGTTTCTACAGCCAGCATTTCTCCAACGTGGTTTTTATGTGTGTCTGTGGACTACATGAGTAAATCACTGCTCTATCACAGCTCATTTAGTCAACATACTACAACATATTGTAGTCTCATAAAGGGCTAAGAAATCCTCGATGATCTGAAACTTCATAGTATACTACTCCACTTAGCAGAATCACTAAATAATAGTAAAATAAAATCTGTCATTAACTGAATAATTGTTTTATTTCCCCCCATGGAAGTGGAAGGAAACACATAAATAGTTCATGTATTTTTATGGAAATGAAGACCAACACATACAGCTAGCTAGGGGGTGGTTTTCCCTTTTTTAAAATCAGAAAATATTTTTAACCACTTATTTATGTTTTCAAGATTGTCTTGACATCTGTTCTTAAAAAGCACAATGAAAGGCATACTTTTAACTACAAACACTGCTAAAATATGGTAACGCTCTGTTTTTCCCTGCTGCAGAACTGCCAAGTAATAAGGATTTGCATGACTAAGCTTCTATTATGCTGACATATGCAAAACTGAGGAACAATCATTCTTTCTTGTTTGACAACTTAGAAAGGAAACACTCCTTTTTCTCTCCTTTAGGACATGTTGGGCCTTGGGCATGATGAACAGTATCATTCAATCAAATCAATTTTTAAATGGATGTTTAAATACTGAGTTCTCTTAAGCAGAGACACTTGCATAGTGACCTTAACATGTGAGCTAGAGGTCACTAGGGATTTGACTAACACTTGCAAACATACCATATTTCACCTGACATGTCTCTGCAAAGAAACCACCACGCCATTTGGAATACACGTCTTGGAACGTATGCAAAGGTTTAAATAAGCTTCTTGCTTTGCAACAACTCCTGAAACTGTGATCAATGTATTGGATTAAAACAATATTCAGATGAAGGAGAAAAATGTTTATAAAATATTTTCAAACTTAGGTGCTTAAGTTTATTTTCACACCAGTAGCTGCCACTGGCAAACTTTCCTCTGGGAACAGCATCTGCAGGTCCAATTGACTTAAAGTGACTGGCAGGCAAGCAGCTGCCCGAAAGAGTATGAATTATCAGCCTAATTTTAGGCACAAATTTTAAAATGCTGCCCTCTTTCAGAATGAAATTTCTTCTTATTTACTCAGTATCTTCCATCGTACTGCACACTATACCACAACTTAGATTTCAACATAGACCACAACAAAATGCAAATAAAATGTAATTCTGGCTTAAGGTACTCAGGTGTAATGAGGCACCGTTTCCTTTCTAGACACCTAATCCACAGCACAACTTACAACACACATCTACATGAATGGCCATAAACTCATATGTGTCTCAAATCTACCTAGAGCATCTACATGCCACATACAAACTAAGACATATAATTTCTAAAAAAAGTGTATTTTTAAAGATAAAACTGTCAGTTGCAAAATATTTGGAAACTGGCTCACAAAACATTACTTCATCTCTTATTATAACCACCGTGTAATCTCCCATATAGGGTGAACAGCCTGTGGAAGTCCATGAGAAAGAAGCATATGATGCCCACATTTGTAAAGATGCAGAAAGAGAGCTAGTATTCAACATACATCAACCTCATTCTCTTGCAAGGAATTAAATGGACTTGGCTGGTGAGCCCAGCTTGGTAGGCAATGTCCAATGTTGACAAAAGGATTCTGAAAATTACTGGGATTGTAATTAAAGCATAGTGGTGGAAGGGAGAGGCCACTGCTGCACAGCCTGAATGCATTGCTGGTGCCATTGCACATTTGACGTCCCATTGCTGTGTTCTGGATAAACTTTCATTAATGGCAATCACTGGCAGCCATTTTCAGCTTGGGTTTGTACGTAATGAGGCTTATCCGCCTCTTTCCATTTGTTTACCTCTTTCCACTCCCTCCCTCCCCCCTAACCTCCCTCTCAGAAAACTTTTTGAGCTGTTGGCCAACCCAAATTAGTGATTGCTCTGAGGGAAAAGCAGGCAGAGCGCAGCTGCCACTGTTGGCAGCACCAACTGCCCAGCTAGTTCTGGGTATGCACAGTGCTGATCTAGACAACCTGCACACTGCTCTTTTCAGAATAGCATGCCATAAAAGAAATGGAGAAAGGTCAACCCAGTGCACTGTGAAGCAGAAGGGACAAAGGACACCAAGCCAACATAAAACAGGTTTTATTACTCCCACTGCTCACAGATTGACTTCTTTCCATGCTGATTCTCCTCTATATGGTCTGTTTGCATTTAGTACATACCCACCAATAGCGTTAGTACAGTCAGAACAGCATAAGGGAAAATGCACTGATGAAAAGACAGATTTGCTTTCCTAGTGACCTACCAGAGGTCACTTGGAACAACTAAAAGACAGAGATGACATGAGAAATAGACTACAAATTTAATAATTCCAGTGTAAGGAAGTAAGCCTCAGTGCAAATCTTTCCTAACTATGCACATACATACAAAATGAGGATAGTTTTCTGCTGTTTTTCCAGCTTTTCGGCAACTAACCAAGTATTATCTTAATGACAAAATTAATAATTTCTCTTAAAACTTACCAGTAGCTAGCAAGTGTCCTGAAGAAGATACACATTTCCTTCCTTTCTCTCTGTTCCCCTCCAGGATCACTTTCTTCAAGCAGGAAGCCCTTTGTACTAGGATTTAGGCTGAGAAACCTACACTCACAATCATAAGAAAATCAGATAAATAAGAATGGAATTAACCCATGAATTAATTATTTGATAACACTGTTTTACAGATTAATGTCTCCTTTGGATTATCTGATGAATGCTAGTTAACTAACTTTCTTTTGATCCTCCTACTGGAAAATACAGCAAAGATTAGATGGTGGGGGTGGAAAGATAATTATGCTCAAGAAGATGACAGTATCTTATACATACTAGGAAGGTTAAACTCAAGTAGTTCCTTCTCAAGACTCCTACTACCAGGTAGAGATGCCAGTGTGAAGCTGTTTAGCCAGTTTCAAATTGGTGCATGTTCTCATGCTCTTGCGACACCTGGCATATGGTGAATGCACTGAAACTTGTAAAAAAACAGTGATTCATTGTTGATCATTCAGAAAAGAGACAGAAATTCATGGTAACTCTGTACTTCTGGAAAAGTACATCTACACCCCAATTTTTACCTGTTTTATGAGCCAGAAACTACAGGTGAGGTTGAGATCAGGATCTGGATCTTGGTCTAACAAAATTCTGGGGAGCGTCACTTAAATCCATAGTTAATCCACGCAGTATTATGTATGGTGAGCTGTGGATGTTCAAGAAGTGTCCCCACAATCAGGAAGATCTTCTGGCATGATCTGTGTGCCTTTATGACACTTTCAATGGTAGGGTCAGCCTTACACAAGGAGCTTTACCCATGGGCTGAAGTTGATCTCCTCTTTTGCATTGTAATGGCTGCATTCTGATCTCCGGGTTTGACTTAGTTACTTTTCATAAAGCAGTCACATTTCATGTGTACCTATTCCAGCAAAGTATTGATTTGCACAAGGAACATTATAAGTAACTTTTTTTACCAGAAATTTGCCGTTTCACTCTCACACCTATGACCTTCCATAGTTAATTCTCAGGGTCTGAATTCCACACTTTGATTTCTCCAACAGGCTATTCTACCATTAAAAAAAAAAAAGGCAAGTTAATTACTTCTCTTGTCTAAAATAACTTCAGTTCTGCTCCAGGCTGAGCAGGAGAGATCTTCAGGTTTAGCAGTCCCTGCCACTTTCTTCCTGTCTCATCAACTGTGCTTAGCATCGTAAGTCAGGAAATCAAGAAGACAAGTCAGCCAAAGTGAGGCTGACCCTATGGAAGAAGACACAAAAGGGGTAGGCACAGCACACAGTGGAATGGTGGATTGAGAAGGAGCTTGATCCAGTCTTTGATGACTTAGAGGACAGTTGTGAGGGAGCATGTGGGTGGGCAGTATGGGGAGACAATTGAGGAAATGCATCCCCCCTCAGGAAGCTCTCAGGAGAGCTGGCTACACAGGATTTGGAGAAGGCTGAGGTTCTGAATGACTTCTTTGCCTCAGTCTTCACTGGCAAAGGCTCTGACCAAACCACCCAAGTCTTGGAAGGCAGATGCAGGGACTGTGAGAACGAAGACCTTGGGCCCACTGTAGGAGAGGAAATGGTTTGAGACCATCTTAAAAATCTGAATGTCCGTGGGTCCTGATGAAATCCATCCGCGGGTCCTGAAGGTGCTGGCAAATGAAGTTCTGAAGCCGCTGGCCATCATATTTGAGAAATCATGGCAGTCAGGTGAAGTTCCCAATGACTGGAAAAAGGGAAATATAACCCCCATTTTCAAGAAGGGGAAAATGGATGACCTGGGGAATTACAGACCAGTCAGTCTCGCCTCTGTGCCTGGCAAAATCTGGGAGCAGATTCTCCTGGAAGGCATGCTAAGGCACATGAAAATCAACAAGGTGCTTGGTGACAGCCAGCATGGCTTCACTAAGGGGAAATCCTGCCTGACCAATTTGGTGGCCTTCTATGATGGGGCTACAGAACTGACGGACAAGGGTAGAGCAATTGATGTCATCTACCTGGACTTGTGTAAAGCGTTTGACACTGTCCCACAAGACATCCTTGTCTCTAAATTGGAGAGACATCAATTTGATGGATGGACCACTCGGTGGGTAAAGAACTGGCTGGATGGCCGCACACAAAGAGTTGTGGTCAATGGCTCAATGTCCAGCTGGAGACCAGTAACGAGTGGTGTCCCTCAGGGGTCGGTGTTGGGACCGGTCTTGTTTAACATCTTCGTCGCTGACATGGACAGCGGGATTGAGTGCGCCCTCAGCAAGTTTGCCGATGACACCAAGCTGTGTGGTTCGGTTGATACCCTGGAGGGAAGGAATGCCATCCAGAGGGACCTTGACATGCTTGTGAGGTGGGCTGATGCCAACCTCATGAAGTTTAACCATGCCAAGTGCAAGGTCCTACACCTGGGTCGGAGCAATCCCAGGCACAGCTACAGGTTGGGCAGAGAAGAGATTCAGAGCAGCCCTGTGGAGAAAGACTTGGGATCATTGGTTGATGAGAAAATGTACATGAGTCAGCTTCAGTGTGCACTGGCAACCCAGAAAGCCAGCCGTATCCTGGGCTGCATCAAAAGGAGTGTGACCAGCAGGTTGAAGGAGGTGATCCTGCCCCTCTACTCTGCTCTTGTGAGACCTCACCTGGAGTATTGTGTACAGTTCTGGTGTCCTCAACATAAAAAGGACATGGAACTGTTGGAACAAGTCCAGAGGAGGGCCACGAGGATGATCAGGGGACTGGAGCATCTCCCGTATGAAGACAGGCTGAGGAAGTTGGGGCTGTTCAGCCTGGAGAAGAGAAGGCTGCGTGGAGACCTCATAGCAGCCTTCCAGTATCTGAAGGGGGCTATAGGGATGCTGGGGAGGGACTCTTCATTAGAGACTGTAGTGATAGGACAAGGGGTAACGGGTTAAAACTTAAACAGGGGAAGTTTAGATTGGATATAAGAAGGAAAGTCTTTCCTGTTAGGGTGGTGAGGCACTGGAATGGGTTGCCCAGGGAGGTTGTGAATGCTCCATCCCTGGCAGCGTTGAAGACCAGGCTGGATGAGGCTTTGGGTGATACGATTTAGCATAACGTGTCCCTGCCCATGGCAGGGGGGTTGGAACTTGATGATCTTAAAGTCCTTTCCAACCCTAACTATTCTATGATTCTATGATTCTAAATGAAAGCATGCATAGCTGTGTAATGGGAGGGCAAAGTGAAAGGATGAGCTGAAATGCCATTTCTTGGAGCACTGAAGCATAGAACCTGCCCTGTGTTAACCCCTGAGTGACACAGACTGGGCATCCGGGCTTGTGGCTATCCCTCTGTCCTGCATGAGCATAATATTTCTGCACCAAGTTATCAATGCACGGAAGGATCACAATAGAGCATCAGAGGCTTGCAATGGAGCTGCTGCTGCACTGCCCTTGGGAGTGAGTGCAATAGCACCAGGGACTCTCCTCATCAGATACTACTTCTGCGTCAGGTTAAAAATAACTCCTGGGAGACTGCACATCCACATAGAGCAAGTACAAAATGCAGAGCTAATCATTATAAAGTCTTGGATCAAGATAGGTAAGCCCGCAGGAATTCTGGGGAAGCTGTGGATTTGAAACTGTACTTCACTGGGCCCAGGCTCAGTTCTGCTGTAAATCAGAACTGAGGAAACATCATCAACAGATAAACAACATCATAAATTCTGTTGCTTAGCTTCTCTTTTTCATTGCAGCACATTTCATGTGGCACCAAACACACTGAAAAATGCACTCCCAAAAAATTAATAATCTTTAAAATTGTACTCCTCATCCCAGTTCATCAATTACATTAATAACACCATCAATATACCAGAAGACAGAGCTTTCTCTAAGTAAATGAGATCTATGCTTGTTTACAGCAAAATAAAACATACATGATACCTGAGGTATCATACATGGGCAAGCTATAAACTAAATAAGGAGCAAAAGTGCTAGCAACCAGGACTAAATTCATCTTCTACATGCAAAGCACTGCCTGTATTTTTTTTGTATTTCGTTAATAATGCAAAATACTGAGGTTATTGTTTAAACATATCTTCCAAAGAATACAGAACAGTTGGAAAATCAAGAAATAGATGATATGATAAGGAAGAAGTTCACATTTAGATCAGTTAGTCACCCTGCACCTCCTGGTTCTCTGGAAAATGTAAAAAGCAGTCAAGAGTGTTACATGGGGCAAGACGGCAAGGAACGCATAAGGCTGGGTTTGTTCAGAAGTGCTTCCTCAAAAGAAACAGCCATAGAGCTATCCAATCCAACCTCACATCTGCTTCCAATTTTATAGTCTTCTGTGTCTTTGATGAAAATCCAATTTTTCCCAAAAGGAATTGCAGCACAGTTGAGTAAAGAAAGGTCTATTGATAAATCTAATGCATCTTTTACAGAGTATGATGCTTCAGGGGTTTGCTGGTGGGGGGAGAATGGGTTTGTCTCGTAATATTGTGCTGCATCTCTAAAGCTCCCTTTACATATCACCCCTTCATAACCTAAGAAGTGGTCTGTTTAGAGCAACACTGAACTAGAGGCTTCAAGCTAGGTCAGCTTGTTTCTGTCAGAATCCTTACGCATCTTAGACACTCATCTCTATCTAACCAGACAGTCTGAAATATCTTTTTTTGCATGTTTTTAAGCAACATGAGGTAACACAGATCCAAGAACACTTGACACCAGTGTATCCTTTTGACACCCACTCCAAAGACAGCAGTAAACAAAAAATAACACTTCAATAATAAACAGTGCTTATTTTACTATGTTTCATTCATAGTTGCCCAAGAAAATTCTTTATCCTACAATGAGCAGTGTTCAGATAGTTCTTAGGGTAATGCTAGCCCTACCTACGGGCTAATTCTTGTTCCAGCTACTTATATTATACTCTGGCCCTTTCAAAGTTAAGCGAAATCAACAGGGACAAGACACACTGCTCTTGTTTCAAGGCACACAAAAACTTTGGGGTCTTGTCTATCATCAGCCCGCTATTTTCTGCTCTGCAGATTTGTTGTCAGAAACAGTCCCCAGGCTACACAGGACACACAGCTTTTCAGGGGGACATGAAAGGTACTATAAATTGCCATCCGACACAATTGGGCCAGAAATCTGACTAGCATAAGGATGCAAAATTCCACTGGAGTCAGGGGGCCTGTGCTCATTAATGTCAAGGCTTCATTTCACCCATTAAAAAGTGAACTGTCAGCTAAGCTATGCTCTGTGAACTCTTGTGGGATTTCCTGCCTTCTTAAGTTACCCATTTCCAGTTTACCTACAAGCCCAGTCTAAATGCATGAATTTAAAATAAAATGCACTTCTAGAGACACAGAATAGACTGTCCGTATTACATGCTGCTTCCATCATCAAAAACAAAACAGAAAACCAAAACAAACCTAGAAATATTGTAGCTTTAGTGTAAAAGCACACCTATCCTCCTAAGCAGCCTGGGTGGAGGAAAGGCAGAGGACTTTGATGAGACAGGAAGGTCAGGTCAACTATAGGACAAAGGCCTTAGTGCTGATCTTGCTTTCTTTGCAATGTAAATCTACAGGGATTGTACAAATTAACCTGCTATTTACAAGGGATTAAAAAAAAAAAAAAAAGTTAAATTAACCAAACAGCCCAATAACTTTTTCCTTTTCTGCAGCCAAGACAAAGCCAGGAACAACGTCATACTAGTGCTCATTTACTTTACACGATTTCTTATTTGAGCACCTGTCTGGGGTTCTGTGGAAGCACTGGGACTGGATAATCCACTGAATGATCTTTAATCAGACAGTAATATTAGGTGCTAATAGTTCTGATAAAGGGGCTGTTTAACCCAACTGCTAACACAAAGGCGTGTCTGCAACAACGACTATTTCAACAATGCATTTGCCACTCATATTAATAAAAATTAATTCCTTGCAGGCCACAGAAAGCACAGAGTAAACCCACATGGAAAATATCTAAGTTCTACCATGACAAATCACATTAAAGAAAAAAAATTAAAATTATCCTAAGGCAATTAAATTTGTCTCAGAAAATATACTCTCTTGGAAATTCTCAAATTGTAAATTCACAGCTAAAAAGGCTGCTAATAGAGTCTTCTGAATGTGTAACTATATATCTGTAGCTCTGTTCTGTGACTTCATACTAGTCATTAAAAGCCTCTGGTAAGTCAAATACAAAGCACTAAACCTTGCTAAAGGTCCTGAGATGACAGTTATTTACACATCATTTAGATGATTGTCCCAGACTAGAGTGGTTTAAGTGAACCAGCACAGTTAAGTCTCCTAGATAGGTTATCAGGATTTCATCTTTTTCTATCTCTAGAGAGCTTAAATAAATTATGTATATATACATATTTATCAGGCTATAAAGGGGTATATTCTTAACAGCCTGCATACAGCTTTCAGGCATAAAACTTGTAACTGGAAAGCTGAAAGTCTTAGTTAAGATCATACTCACAAATGATGGCTTACTCTTTAGATGTGTTTGGTTTTCAGAAAACTGTTTGGCTTTAAAAAGGTCCTAGTATACTAAAAGAAATACATGAAAAAGACACAACTAAATTTGGCACTTTGGTACTCAAATTAATCCCCAAGGATATTACGGCTAAGAAGTAAAACACATCCAGGTTAACTCCCCACTTAATTTCCTTCAGGAGTCTGTGAATGGAGAGACAATCAGCTAGAAAAATGTGAAATTATTAACAATGTGAATGAAGGCCTGAAAGCTGTACTCAGATGTGACAGCATGGACCCTTCTCCCAAAACCTGTAAGAGCCAGAACGTGGCAGGACAAAAGAGTTATGAAAGAGCATACTCCAGAAATCTGTGCAATGCTCAGACAATCTTCTGATAAAATGAGAGCAGTGGACATAAGCTTCAAAGACTGATATGTTAAAGTTTTCTAGCCAGAAGGTCAGTGCCAGTTATTTATATCTGTCTTCAGGGTAAAGAAGATTAAAAGCCATCTGGAGATAGTCCTGGGCAACCTACTCTAGGTCACCCTGCTCTAACAGGTGATTTAGACAAAGATGACTATTACAGATCATGTCCAATCTCAATCTTCCAACTGTGAAAATAAAAAAGAACAAAAAAATCCACAAGGTGATATTCCAACTATAATGTGTACTCACCTCACTGGGAAGTTAAGACAAGAAGTATGTATGTAACTTCTGTTGAAGGTAATGCAGCAATATTTCATGAGCTCCATCAACTTTCACCATATTAAAAGTGATTCCAAGTAGTTAGGAATGTGAGAAACCTTTCCTACACAGGATTTTTTTCAAACCTTTAGCATTATCTTAATGCAGTTTTGTTAAGTGAATTATTTATTAACTTGTTAGTCTCATTGATCAGCACAGGAAACTACCACCAAAGCAGTCAACTGGACTTCTGAGTGCAAATAAATAGCAAGCATTTAAAGGGATATGCTTCCTTTGATGCACATAGGAAGCTCCTATTGAACAATAATGGCAAGTATATAAGGAATTATCTTGCAAAAAAATCATGCAAAATAAAGACAACTTTTTACTACACTTGTTCATGTGTTGGTTTTGGCTTTCATTTTTAACCTGATTTATATTAAAGTTAGCCTGAACTCTGGTTAAGCTTCCTCACAGGATATAATCTGCTCTCCAACTGTCATTACCAAGTTCTTCACTATACAGGCTTCTGTAGTTTCTTTGAAAATGCATTTACTCTGGAATCACTAATCAGTTCAAAAAAACTGAGTAACTGTTATAGGACTTAAAAATAACTTTTATTCTCAAATAAAGCATCCATATAGGAGACTGTTTTGTAAAGTAGTTTGTCCCACAACAGCTGTGTCAGTTAGTCTTCCAATTTAGGTATGTCCCAAGATTAGCCGTGAAGAATTTTAAACTCTAATTAGCACAATGCCAGGCTTTATTATTTTATGAAGACTTACAAGCCAATCACTCCCTGATTCTTAGTAAATTCATAGCCCAACTGTCAGTGGACTGCAAATATAGATTTATGTTAGGCAGGCCACTGATTGAGCTATTTTATTCTTAAGGAGGCAAATTAATTTCATCCTGGATTTTTTTTTTTCTTCCCCCAAGAAAAATGCATTGAAGGCACTGGCACTGAGAATTAACAGAATCTTTGTATTTGTCAATAAGGTCAGGCAAGCGTTGATGCCTTCTGGAAGCAAACTTCTGTTAGAAATGCTGTTGTCATTCATTAAAAAGAAACAGTATCTTAGAAACCGAAAAAGCATCCCAATTTTCCAAAGCATTTTCGTTCAAGACTAATAAAATCACCTTGCGCTTGATACCAACAGAATGCTGGTAAATCATGACTATAACACCGTGACCATAATTATCTATTGTTAATTCAGATAGAAACATTTCAAATAGCAAAGCACAAACAACTGCTACTCACCATGGCAGAAAGTCTCAGACGTGGGGTATTTCATTCACAATTATTTCAATTATGGCATTTCAACTGGTGGCCATTTTCTTTGTCGCTTTATCCTTAGACTTGATCAACATTCCAGATCATGTCTGTATTCTTTATGAAGCCCACCAATAGCTAGATTTAAGATGTAAAATAAAAATCAACTTAATTTAATGTGACAAGAATGGCTTTGTGCTAGGCTTTGTGCCCAGTCATTTATTTACTCCCTGTGTATAAAACTTTTGTCTCTTAGAACAAGAAACTCTTCTTGTCTGCATCTTTCTCTGGTATCTACCTCCTCATTTTCCAGAATGGTTGTTATTGCATGTACTGCCATCCTCACATAGGCATTGGCATCAGCAAAACTTATCACAGATGAACTTCTTCCAGAAAAATACCCTTTCCACTAACCCCCTCAAAGAAGGGGTGCAATGTTGTTCAGGTCAATGAAGATGCAGGCACGAAAAAGAAAGGAACTTGGCCTAAGAGAACATTCATATACTTGGGATCACCAACGAACTGCCCTTCACTTTAGACTAACACAAGCCATTTTTCCTTCCTCTGTGGCACAGAGCTGTCTGCTGTATAAGATCATCTGGAGAATTTTACTGAACTTTGGATAGTGATGAAACTTAGGCCCCGACCTTCCCTGTTGCCTTCCTGTAACACATTATGATTATGCTATTGATTCTAAGCTTTCTAAAGAGTTCTCTGGAATGTCTTTTGGCCATTGTATAGGAAGTCTCTACAGTGTAAATCTGCGTGGCAGATTTTCCCTGTACCCTCATGGAATAAACATCATATTTATGCCCAGCAACAGTTTTCAGATCCTAAACTGAAGGACCCTGACTTTTTTTCAGTCATCTCACTTGTCTCCGTCAGTGTAAATATCTTCTGGGGATATCAACCACACCTCTTTGTTTTAATGGCATATTTCCACCTTGTGATGGAGGTGGATGAACTCTTCTTGGGCAACTGGAGGTTACCTTGTTTTGAAAGAATCACATTCGCTTTTATATTACAAAGAAATGCCAATGTTTTTATAGCAGTGAATCCTCATTTTGATCTTTCAGGGATTATTGACCTGTTAGAAATTTCTAGATGTATTGACAGTAAAGAAAGAAAGCAGAGACCATAATGTGGGAAGATGGGAACACACTGGAGAATTAGTGTAGTCTGTTTGAACTGGTTAGCAAAAAGGCCTGCTAACACCGCTCATCAAAAAGGAGATGCTTTGTAACATGAGCCTCTGCACCTTTCCCAGAACCACGACTTGACTTCCAAACATAAGCTATTAAGGAAAAAAAGAAAAAAAGCAGCTTATTTGTAAGCCTGATCAAAAGTGATAGACATTTTTCTTATTAACATTCTCTATATGCTTGTGTATACTGTAACAGGGAGTTACACCCCACAAATAGATTAGAAGCAGGGAAAAAGGTATACATCTTTCCAAAAGCAGGTATAATGAGAAGAGGAAGAAGGAAAGTCTTCTGGAATATACTTGGATGTTATTTTATTTATTAAGAGTAGTTTGGTTAGAATTGCTGCATGACGCATTCTTTTACCCTCCAATTCTCAACTTTTACTCATCAAAAACATACAGAGAGGTCTAGTGGATTAGCAATTCTTGTCCTGCAAAGCCATCTTCACTGGTCAGCTTATGGTCCTGTTTCTGGATACTGTAACCATAAGCACTGATATAAATTTTCTAACAGAATGATTTCCCACCAAAACGCTCAAGCCAAAGACTAAGGTCTTTAAAGTAAGTGCCTTTACTTGTGAGGGTGGTGAGGCACTGGAAAAGGTTGCTCAGTGCTGGAAGATGCTGCCCAAGGAAGTGAGAGCATATTCTTTATTTCTTCATGTTGTGAAAGGGAACATTTCCATCCTGCCAATTCAACTGTTTTGGGTTCCTGGGCTTTTATTCCTCTGGCTAAGGGAGTCCCAAAGGCTCAGCAGGAGACAAATGCAAGGTGCTCATGGCCAAGCACGATGCCATTGAGTTAACAACTCTCAGGTGACAAATGAATGCCTTAAGTTACCCTTTCCTGTGCTTTTTCTTTGAGAGGGTTGACCATAGGGATGGGGATGCCTCCTTTTCCAGGAGGCCTCAATCGAGTTAAATCAACATATTTGTAGAATTAACATACAAAACCTAGGACAACATAAAGTGTTCCCACACTTCAGTAGATGATTCTGCTTTCTGTAGTCAAAAAATCAGACTCCTACAGTACAAATGATAGAGGTGGTGGACTCATGATCTAAGCACGCCCATGTGCCTGGGAACTAGCAGTGAAATAGCAAAGAAAGAAAACCACTTAACATCTCAGAGGTAATCAAGCTGTAGTTTACAGTTTACTGCATGCTTTGGCTATGATTTTAGTAATTTTGATCCACCTGCCCCCTTTGATTTCTAAGATATGATTTTCATAGCTCCCTATATAAATGTATGTGCAAATGTGTGCACCTGGTATTACAAACACACTGAAGTTGCGTTGAAAGCTGTCAGAGTGAGTGTTGTGCAAGAGTGTATTATGAAAGCCATTGTTTTCTTTTTCACATCCTAGGAAAGAAAAATATACATACATAAATAGGTAAGCACTGTGACATCTTAGCACAATTCACCTGCTCTCTATCATTCTTTCATTAGTTGTTTCAATGAAAGGTAAACAAGCATATCCACAATAGATCTTGAAAAAAAAAAAGTGTAATATAAATATTTAACATAAAAATTTTATCTGTGGTAATTCAGGGTTTTGATTTTGATTCTGAAGGTCTTAGTCATTTCATGATGCAGGATATTCCTGCCAAAGTGTGTATCCTAACTGTGGCAGTAATTCTGAATTTTTTACTAATTTGTTAAAGAAAAGAAGTCTATTTCTAGCCTAATTTTGTATCCCTACTGATGACAGTAGATACCGACTCAAAAATACACAATAAAAACTACAGCATCACTTATTTGATCAGAATAAAAATACCAATCAAATGTGTGGATGGTTTACACATAAATGTAGTTATCCCCAAATAATGATCATTTTTATTTTAGCATTTTTCTATCTGAGATCATGGCTTTCTTTGACAGACTCTGCAAGATCACTGGTTTTGCCCTGCCACTCCCTTTTCCTTTACTGTGTAACTACCTTATACAAAGTGATACTTGTATGCCAGCAGGTAATATATTTATGGAGTAGTCACCCAGACCTGACAAGTACTGTACTGTATTTCTTTTGAAAATCGCCCAAGGTGGGGTTATTTCATCTGCTTTGACAAATTGTATATGTATTACCCATATTATGCTGTCACATCTACCTTAGGTTCATCAATATCTTATTACTGATGCTGTTGTTTTCAAATCTAAATACAGTATGGGGAAAGCAAGCAAGCAAACACACAAACAAACCTATCTTAGCAATAATGTTAAAAATAAAGCCTGAAACAATGACACTGTGCAATAACCTTGAGTGCTTTTTAATTTATTTTTTTTTTAATAGCTGTGTTCTAATTCTTCAGAGAGCACAGAGGGGAGCTTTGAAAAGGTGCTAATAGACCATGAATTTGCAGCAGTGTAGTTCACAGCTAAACACAATCTCACTTCAAACTCGGGCAGGGAAAAAAAAAATGAGGGCACCACAGAAGTGAATTAAAAATCATGCAAACAGTCCCACCAACAACCAGGGCACTAGCAGCTTATAAGATCAGCTTCATTTGGCAGGGTGCCCACCATGACATGACCTAAGAGGGCCAGGGCAGGAGGGTATCTTCTGGCTTACAAAAAGGGTATGGAGCAGGCTGCCAGGGGGAAGGATGGAAGCAAAAGAAACATCGTGTAAGCCTATGTTGAATTAACTTGTTTTACAGAACACCGACAGGAAACTTTTAGGTCTTTTAAATGTGTTTGAAAAGTTCTTCTATATTTTAGATGGTAGACAAATATTCTCTGGGTCAGCTGCACTGCAGGGAGAGATTACTATCACAAAGCCCCTCCTCCTGCCTGAGGGTACTGTCCCCTCAAATCTCCCAGAGATGTTCACGTGCTATTCTCCAAATGAGACCGCGGTTCCATGACAGTCTAATCCGATCTAAATTGGGGCTGCTGCCTTTTCCTATGCCAGCAAGAATGCTTGTCTGGTCCCACACTGAACTGGTTCAGAAAAGACAGAACCAACTTGAAAAAATCGTAACACTTCCCTGCCAGTTCAGCTTCCTGTGGAGTCAAACAAGCACCAGCGCTGGTGCAAGAGATGGGGTGGGGATATATGTGATGCAAAGCCAGCCTGTAACAGCTCTGGTTTGGATCACCTTAAACCATTTCGGAACTGCACTCAAGGCTGGGCTAGCCAACGCCTGCTATTTAAACTGCTTGTGCTGATCCAGCTCTTTTGACTGGCTCAGGTTTGGGAGTGGTCCTAAAAGGAGCTTCCTCATCACATCAGAAGGGGTGGGCAGCCTCCCCTTGCTATCAGTAGCCCTTTCCTCAGGCACACCTGCATGCAGGGTTTTGTGGAAACAGCATTGTATGATCTATGAAGCCTACAGAGAGTTCTTTGTGGCAAGACAGTCCCACAACAGCCAGGGCACTCTGGTGACACTACCAGGATCCAAGCCCAATGTGACAGATGATTTGAATGTAAAGAGATGCCAAGGAAAGATGGAAAAGTAAGGGACACATCAAAGTCTATCTGGACTAGAAACTGAAATAATTTTTCACCCTTTCTGAACTTTACCAGGTTTTTAGTCAGATCCTGAGTACTAAGGCAGTGAGCCCAGTGGTTTGCTACTTGCTGACTTGTTTGCATACATCACCATATCATATGTATGCATACTAGCACAGAGATGGGGAGGAACACAAAATATCAAACAGCAAACATGTAGTTAAAACAGTTTTACTACCTCCAAAGGTCACCTGCTTATTCCCAGTAGTAGCTGTGGAACAGTTTAGAGCCAAAACTCTGGAGCGCAAAATCAAGGATACCCAAATTAGCCACTAGAGAAGGAGATATACTTTGTATCTTTACTTGAAAGGCAGGTTTAATTGCCAGCTCTTCCAGTCTTCTCTCATCACTTTCGTTTAACAAGTATTTAGCTCTGGTGGACCCACATACATCTGTGAAGAGTACATTCCTCAAGGTATCATGATGACAGACACATTAGGAACTGGAAAAGGTCAGACATTAGAGCTGTGAGCACTATATAAAGCAAGCAAGAGAGAAAAAAAGTCACAGTTCAAGGAATGAGAGAGGAAAGGCTGGATTCACTGGGAAAAGCACCTGAGCTTCTCAAAAAACAAAGGGAGAAACCAGTTAAGTTAGAAGAAAACCCTGAAGCCACCTTTTAGATGCCAGTCTTGGTACTAGGAGGTAAGTCTCTATCTACAAGTTCCCAGCCTGTGACATTTCACAGCAGCACATCTGAATGGTTGAGTGAGATGGCATAGGAAAGGAGCAGGAGTAACATCGCCCAGATTTCAAATTGTGTGAGAAAGAGAAATATCTTAATACCCTGAAAATACTGTTGTGTTTGCTGGTGGCAGGAAGCAATTCAAAAACATTTATACTGGGAAGTGAAGAAGGAAGAAGAGAGAAAGATGTAGTCAGGGGTTAGTTCAGTAGAACATAAAGTCTAACCTATATGCTTCCAGAATTGCTTACTGGAGTGAAGACACTAGAACTAAAATTACATTTTTTTCTTTCTTTTTAAATAAGTAAAACTGTTATGCTTATTGGCAAGCAGCCAGTTGTTTATTGGCAATTGCTTTATTTTCAGATGCCAATTTATTCCCTAAATGTCCTTGGGTTGAGACCACTGACCTGTTAAGGGGGTAATCCACTGGCCAGCACAGAATTGCCCCTTAGGTGAACTTCATTTGTAACATAATGGAGATTTGCATGCTCTGTCATAACAGGAATGCTCCAAACTGGTTTAACACTCAAGCCATGAATGTTATCTGTTGTCTATCTCCCCTCCCAAAAAAATGTGGATGAGTTCTGCTTTTCAGATTCTCAGGAGAAATACAAAGATCTTCTCTGCCAGTTGCAGATGTGTTCTATTTTTTCCCCTACATCAGAGCTTCTGAATCATCCTTAATAAATAAGCAAAGGCTATTCATACCAAATGGGGAAGTGCTCACACACTATGATGATAAAGCATTTCATCCATTAAAAAAAAAAAAAGAAAAAAAAAAAGCACTACCCACAGAACTGCAACATCACATCATCTGCGCTTTGCTGAATGTTCACAGAACAGCACTGGAAGTTACTGAAGTGTCAGATAGTGATTTCATCATGTGTCAGGCCTCCCACTAATAAATGATTCATCTTTCTCAGTACTGACACCTCAAAGAATTAAGGAAGAGAAGAAAGAAATTCATAAACTTTAAAGTGAGAAGTGCTCTACTGATATTACACTTCCCAAGTAAACAGAAGCTTATGCACACACTAAGAATGTGTTTAGAATTTAACCTTTCATTTATTTGAAGTGTACTTCAAAGTTTTAAAAGTGAATCTATTACAGAAAAAAAGGAATCATGAAATTCCATGTGTATCACCACAATACACAGAGGTAAATTGGTCAATTTACAAATACGAGATTTCACACACACACCCTCCCCCAGCTTTGTGAACTGAAACTTGAACTGGGAGGAAATCTTCTCTGGTTTACACAGCAGTGATTAAGCGTATGTTGGTGACAATAAGCCTGACCCAACTTCTGAGTACTGGATTACATCTGTAGAAACAAATCTAGCTCTTCTTGAAGGAGATGGGTGACTTACAATTGTCTCTAATGGAAATGAGACTGGAAGGAAATCTGCCATTTTAATCAGAATTTACATAATAATCATTCCTGGATGCTTTGTAAAACCAGAACATCTTCCATTGATGACAATGGCTCTACTGGATGAACGGGACTAAGTAGTAATCCAAACTTACTTCTCCCAGAAGGTATGAATTCAAAACACAAATCCAAACCAGGTAATGTACTTAGCCAGATACTACCACTTTTGCTTGGTTTGCTAGGACACTGAAGTTTGTGTAGTCACACACCAAGTTTCTAGTTGATTTTCTTCTATTTCAACAAAAAGAAGTAGAGATACAGATATGTCAAATTCCCACATTCTTTGTAACGAATAAATAGCTAGAAGAAGAAAGAGATTCTGAAAGTGACACAACTAAAAAGCAAATCCTGTAACATAAAATTAAACCTATGAAACATTAAAGAATCCACAGGGGTGAGAGACCTAACAAATGACCATACTGCAGGAAAAAAGAGACAACTGTAATTCACTGTGAAACCATGAGGCACTGACCTGTGGAAAACCAGGCTTTGCTGCTTCTGCCACTAATGGAACTCCTTGGCTGTAGGTGTGGTTTGGTGTTTTTTCTCATCAAAATGGCATCTATTATAAACAAAACACTTCAATCAGCAGACTCAAAGCAGGAGGAGCATATGGTTACACAATTTATCCCACTTGATTCCTCTTCTGGAGCAGGGAAAAAAATTAGATGAAGATGCTAAAGTCTGGACTTTGACTCAGAGACCCATTCTCACCAGAATTAGGCTGGCAGGAAAACTGCCTGGGACAGAAGAAAGCCACAAGCCCCTGATGTCTCATGCCCAAAGCAGGTACTTCTGTTCACTCTGAATGTGTATACCAGACATGTCAACATGATGAACAGAATACTTGAAAACAGTAATATACAAAAGCAAATTATTCTTTGCTGTTCCCCTACCTCTTGTTTTGGTAGAATTAATTTTGGCATCCTGGCTAAAGATGATGTCCAGTTTCTCCATCAGATTTAGCATGACCTCTTTACTATCAGCTGAGGAACATAAAAGACAGCAATGAACATTTGTATGTAGGAAAAATGAATGGCTGTGGGGCAGGATGCCTGAATGATCAAAAAAAAAAAAAAAAAAGATTAAATACTTAAAACACTTTACCATGAAATCGCCTTCTCCCCCTTCCCCCAACCCCCATGTTAAATCAGGTAGAAAAGTGTGATAATATTAAGGCTTAATCCAATTTAAATAAATTATTTTCTTGTAAATGTTAAAACAATCATTACATGCATCATTTACCTCCTCCTCTTCCCATAGTATTAAATTATGCTCCATTATATCCAGATGGGAAAAAAAAAAAAAAGGCAGAAATGTTTCTTAAACATTTGAAATTTTGGGTTTGATTATATTCAGAGGTAAAAGTCACTAAAGAAACCTAGGGAAAAAAAAAATCTTAGAAAGCATTATGGGATTTTGTGTAGCAAACTTAATTAAGAATTTTTTTTTTGCTAGGTTACCAACAATGTTTTGTTACAAGCTTAAGGTATAAGATTATTATAGCTCTCTGTCGTGCTTGGAAGCAAAGAAAGAACACTTGCAAAGAACAATCTTGTTATTACAATTAATTACAAATGTACAAATGAGTGATATATCAGACCCTGTCTACACTGCATAGTCATGAATTTATAATCATTTCACTATACAGTTATTAAAAAGCATGCTTTGCATCTACAGTAGCTTGATACCACATCACAGTCAGGAGTAGTTATGTTTATTCATGCACAGCTACCACCAGCCAGAGCTACACGTATGTGTCAGTGCATTTTAGCAAAATCTGCATCAACCAGTAATACAGGTCTCTTCAGCTAGCATTTCTTTTAAGCGGACAGACTGGAAGCAAGACAGGAGAAGGCAAGCCAGAAACACATGGATAGCAAAGGGCAGGCAGCAGTCTTCAGCCACTGGCCATGCTGGGTCAGTTGATGTGGTGACAATCACCCAACACTGAACTGCTTAGCAATACATCCTGTTTATTCATGCATCCTTACTGTCCCAAAACACCAAACCGTTTTTGCCACGGAAGGGGTGAGGAATCCTCTCCCCATTGACAACATACATGCCTGAGGGAGAAACACCCTAGCCCTGGGCACTGCAAAGTCCCTGGCTGCTGGTGGGCCTCCCAGCTGGCAAGGACCCCCACTTTCGGTCTGAAGACTGCCAGTGCAAGAACGTTTCTGCAGCACAGCAACCTGTAGGACAATGAGCAACAGGACACTGATGAATTTTCCCAAGTAGAGAAGTACATTTTAAATCC